ATCTCCCAATCACTCTTCACATGCTAACTCTGTCTGGAAGTCCCCAGTCTGTTCTCAGCCCTCCACATTTCCCTGGTGGAACTGATGGCTGAATTATGCACAGAACTATTGTTCTTCCTTTAGTGTATTATGAGTATTTTCCATAATCACTTGCTCTGAGGTATAGCATTGAAGTCTTCCTCAGGAAAGGCTCAAAGGCTAAGCATATTGGACATGAGTTCCAGTCCCAGCTATGACTCTAGGATATGTTCAGATGCACATATTGGTCATTTTACTCCCTTCTCCATTAATCTTTTGGTTTTCTTGGTACTGGGGATTGTACCCTGGGGTGTACAGAACTATGCACAGAAATTTGGGAGGGGGGAAGAGTGGCGACATCCTTTGTACAAGGATGAGTTCACTTAACCTGAAAATGGAGAAAACAGTAAAACTCATCTCACTAAATTGTGAAAATCAAATGAAACAGCATGCATAAAGCATTTAAACAGTGTTTGGCACGTAATAAATGCTCAATAGAAATAAAAATCAATAAAGACATTCATACACTACTAGTAGGAGTATACATTAGGACAATTACAGTCATTTTGAAAATGATTTAGAGGTATACATCAAATTTAAACATATGTAAATTATGACCCAACAACTTCACTCCTAAGTATATGTTTCCCTCAAAGCACACATATTAATGATCTTTCACTGCATAACAAATTCATATATGAAAATATGTCTCAAATTTAGAAAAGTGGCACACCACAGTCAATGGGCCATCTGCAAGTCAGATGAATTGTGCTCTTTTAGGTCTTTTGAATTTCATGCTCTGTCAAGACAACTATAAACACATTTTAACCTTAAGAACTGATGGTCATCATTGTATTACAGACCTGAGATTTTTATCAAGACTAAACAAATTGTAACTATGTAAACCAACATGTTGTTTTTCCCCACTGCAGATAATCTGAGATTGATTTAAATGCAACATTTCTCAACTTTTTGCAATTTTGACGTTAACTTCCTCCTGTCTATTCTCTTTTGATCACTTCCCCATCTCTTGTCATAATAATAACTGCATTGTGCAACAAAGTTTAATTTCATCCCCAAGCTTGTTAAAGGACACATGAATTAGAGGAAAGGATATTGGATTAACAGTAATGGAGAAGCTAGGCACAGTGTTGTGTGCCTGTAATCCCAGTGACTTGGAAGCCTGAGGCAAGAGGTTCGCAAATTTGAGGCCAGACTCAGCAACTTAGAGAGACCCTAAGCAACTTAGTGAGAACCTGTCTCAAAAATTAAAATATATAAATAAATAAAAGGGCTGGTGATGTAGTTCAGTGTTAAAGCACCCCAGGTACAATCCCCAGTACCAAGAAATCCAAAAGATTAATGGAGAAGAGAGTAAAATGAGGATATGTGCATCTGAAAAGAACCTTCTTTTGGATGCCAAAGAAGTCCACTAATTTCCCGTTGTAACTTATTCACCAGCAAGCTTTCCAGTCCTGCTCTTATTTCAATTCTAAGAGCTAGATGTTGGGGGAAAAGCTGGAATTATGGAATTTTGTATATAACATGATGCCTTTTGGTCTGATCATGTTGAAAAGCTACTTGGGGATGGACATGAGACCACAGATGAGACCACAGACAGGGTTGGCAATTGGAAGATGACCAGAGGATGCTGTTTCTTTCTTTTATAAAATTAAGGCCCATTGGGGAAAAACGCAAAAAATATTTTGGCCTGGACTCTTCTATGTTCCATTATGGGAGTCTAAAATTTGAACCTATTGATCAACTTTATGCATTTTTCTTTCAAATGGAACTTTACTGGGTAATTTTAGCTATGAATCACAAAGAATCTTCAATATCAGTGTCTATAGAATGAAATGGCTGAAACAGGAATGAAGAGAAAACACCTGGGTGGTATATAAATGGAAGTACCCTGAAGACCTGGCTATCATTATTATATTCAGAATTCTGAATAAAAAGCTGCATAGTTTGTCATATGCTTTGTGGCATAGGAGTCTAAGGTGTTTCCAAATAAGCATTTGGAAAGAAACAGAAGACCGACAAAGTTTGTTCTGGGATTTCAGATCAGACTAGATGGAATACAGCTTGGTTGCAACCACTGAAATTTAATGGGAGCTGTGAAGGAATCTCTGCACTGGGGCAAATCCATACAGCTTTTAGTAGCCTTCTGGTGAGCTCCACTTACGTTTATCAAGAGGTTAGTAGGACAGTGCACAGAGGCTACCAGAAAGTGAGTTCTGTCCTGCTTCCTCTTGATCCTCAAAGGAGTACTTATGTGAACCACATGTTGTTCAAAACTGTTATTTAAAAGACACTTTTGCACTTAGTTACTCTAAAGATGAGTGAAGATTACAGTTGTCTCTGTATCTTCAGGGATTGGTTCTAGAACCTCCTGTGAGTACCAGTATCCACGGATGCACAATTCCCTTATGTAAAATGTGACCCCATGTATGTAACCCGTGCACATCTTCTCATGTATTTTAAATCATCTCTAGATTTGTTATCATGCCTAATAAAATGTTAATGTTAGTTCTATGTAAATAGTTGTACTGTATTGTTTAGGGAATAATAACAAGAAAAAATCTGTACATATTCAGTACAGACGCTTTTTTTTTTTTTTTGGTGAATATTTTCTGTCTCTGCTTGTTTAAATTTGTGGATGAGTAACCCATGAACTCAAAAGGCTGACTGTACGTGTAACAAAGTTCTTATATCAAAAAGAGTAAGTGCTCTAAGTTATATCACTAATACATACAACTACTGTTTCTTGTGCTTTAAAGAGATTAAATCTTCCCAAAATACACACCTAATTCAACAAAGGAATGATGATTTTTAAGACTTATGTTCTGTAGATGGGAAATAACCACCATATTTTTTTGATAATTGACTTAATTTGAAATTTGGATGAAAAAAATTTCAGGTCATTATCCATTCATATAATATTATAGGTTATAGGATTTTTTAGCTATTTCAAAGAATATTTTCCATAATGTCTCAAAATAAAATTAATTGTTTTAGGACAATAATTATAGAGCTCCTATAGAATTTCAGGAACTACTCCAAGAGCTGTGAATTATATTTATATATAAATATATAACTCACATATATATATATTGTGAGTTATATATTTAAGCCTCTATATATCCCGAGGAGGTAAGAACTATTCTTATTCCGATTTTACAAAGGAGGAAACTCAGACAGACAGAGATTCGAGAATTTAAACAATATCACACAGCTAGAATTAGAAGATCTGGAGTTTGAATCCTTCTATCTGTCCTCAGAGCACATGTGTAATGCTTCAGTAACATCCATCTATGCAGTGAAGCGTTTTCATTGTATGCTTCTGGGCAGGCGCCGGACACAAGATGATGGCTGCTCAGTACCACATGTCTCGAGGCTGGTGCTTCGCTGCTCTGTGGCCCTTTCAGGATGCAGGAACTTCATGGATTATTGTACCACTTTGGTCTCCCTGCTGGTTTATTTTTTAAAATGTAATGTGTTTATTGAAATATAATTCACATAACATACAATTCACCCATTTAAAGTGTACAATTCAATGACTTTTAATATATTCACAGAGTGTATAACCATCAATATAATCTGTTTTAGAATATTTTCATTGCTCATAAAAGAAACCCCATACCCATGAGCAACCATTCCCCACTCTTCCCTCCTCACACCTCCCAACAAGAACTAGTCTGCTTTCTGACTCTATGGATTTTCCTGTTATGAATATTTCATATAAATAGAATCATATAATATGTGACTTTTTGTATCTGACCTCTTATTATGAAATTTTCAAGTTTCATCCATATTATAGCATGGATTAGTTCTTTTTATTATTGAACAATATTTAATTGTGGGAATTTACCACATTTTACATATCCATTCATCACTTGATGGAAATGTTTCCACTTTTTGGCTATTATGAATAATGATACTGTGAACATTTGTGTGCAACTTTTTGTGGGGGTGTGTTTTAATTTCTCATAGGTATATATAGTGGAGATGCTGTGTTTATGTTTAATCTTTTGAGGAATTGCCAGACTGTTTCCCTCTTTGCTTCTTGAAGTGCTCTTTAGCTCACTGTTTTTGCAAAAGTGACTTTGCTTCTCTTAGAGGCAGCTTGGAAAGCAAGAATCCCAGATGTTGTCTTCAATATCCGACATCTGGTTTACTATAAATAGTGACTTTCAGTAACAGAAACCAAATGGAAAGCTTAGAGTAACCTTGAGTAATTACCTCATTCCTTCTTAAGTCTTTTTAGGAGAATATGAAACAAATTTAATACATGATGGTAACAGTAATAGTTAACATCTGTTAAAAACCATAGGTGTTCCAGGCACTCTATGAAGTATATTACATGCATTTTATCATTCAACTTTACAACTACTAAAATGTTTTAGAATCCTTCCATTCTAGGATTAAAAAATAACCATAAGAATGACAGACAGCCATAATTCTATCTGTATTGATAACTAGGTAGTGGGAGGAAAGATTTAGCTTGAAGAAAAAAAAAAAAAACCTAAAACAAAAAGATGAACTCCTCTAAAAGGAAAACTATTAAGAAGAGATTTAGCTGGATCAAAGATAGTTTCATTGAGGGTTTATCAGGAACAGGAAATAGAGTATGTTACTGTCCTCATTTCTTCTGGGTATGGGTGCTCACGACACTGTTAGGGTTTACATTTTCTATAGGTACATACAATTTGTTGCCAACAAAGTACTATAGAGGTTAATAAATATTAACAGAAAAGAAAAGAGGAACTGTTCTAATACAACATATTTATTGGCTGTTGTAAAAAGTTTTCCTGTTGCAAAGTGCCCATCTGTTGCTGGGTATGAAAATCCATTTGAATGTTTGTTTACCAACCCACTTCAGACACCAGTGAGTAGGCAAAGTTAAACAAACAAAAACAAGAAACAAACATTATGTGGTATTTTGCCTGTGATATGTTTAAAGTAAAAGTGGGAAAAAATAGAGTAAAAAATGGGTAATTTATATATATCATAATAAACGAGGGCCAAATTATGGCTGCAAAAACCACTGTTTATAAAGAATGACTATAATTCATATGGTATGACGTTTCCTATTCAAAGAGTTATATATCAGAGAATGCACAAGTAGACTTCTTCCTAGAAATAAAAACCAAACTGATTATTTTTCTTCAGTACATTTGATAAAAAAAAAGACAAATAATGAGTGTCTAATTGAAGAGTGTATTGTGTTGATTCTGATTTTGTGTAAAGTTGGCCCAATTTCTCATTTGGAATAAATTCTGAATACACAACTACAAAAAAAAAATCAGAAGCATTATTTTCAATGAACTCTAAATTGCCCTTAGAATTGAAGGCCCTGGGAAGATTTTATCCTACATTCTGCTTTAGTCCTTAGGAATCAGTTACCAGCTGCTTGCAGTCATTTTCACTCCTTGGGAAAGACTAGATCTTTCTGTTTAGCAACCAATCCAGGAGCTGGATTTCACCACACTAACCACATCTTCCTTCTCTGTATCATACTTGTATGTTTTGGGTCCTGAAAAGAAGTAAATGTGGCCTAAAAGAGATAAAGTTGAAATTGTGGTTACTGACAATGACTTAAAGATATAAAAATGGGAGGATTTGTAATTACAACTTTCTTGAGGGGCCACCAATGGAGAATTGGGTGGGAATCTATCAGGTGGCTTGTCTTGTGCATGGCTCCCATGCCCTAGGACCTGACACTTCTAACTTCTTAGCCATCTCGTATCTTACTCTTGCTTCCTGGAACAGTAAAGTATCATCTTTGGGGTCCTCCAACAAACCATCCTCAGTTATGCTTTGTGCTTTTGTTCAGGCTATTCTCTTCAAAGAAGCCCTCTCTCCGTTCCTCTCCCTAGTCAAATCTCTACCCAATCTTCAAAACTACCATGAAATCTCCAATTACTGCTGCCGATTCTAATATTTTTTTCCTCAGATCACCTCTTTCAATTTTATGAGGTCTACTAGGTAAGTTAATACTGAATAATAGACTATCTTATTTTCCAGTAATTTCATCTGTTTTGGGTGAATAGATGTTTCCTGATGATGCTAATAATTCTGTGAGAGCAGAGGCCATGTCTGGAACTATTTTTGCATTTCTGAATAATGTCCAGTTCTGTTCTCACATTCAAGAGGAATGTGTCGACTAAATTTAATCAACTCAGTTCATTAAACTTTCCTAGCTATGTATTAAATTTCAGGAGTTGGCTAATGGAAGGGGGGAAGCCACTGGGAAGACTGAGACTATGTATTTTAAAGATGAAAAAGGTAATCTGGACCTGGGCAGACTTTATGATCTAGCTGACACATCAACTGAAGCTATCTGTACTTCTAAACTTTTCATTAGTAAAGACAGAACTGCAATGGTCTTTTCCAATTCCTCTTTCTAGTGGATAATCTGGTGATCTAAACATAGAGAAGTACCCAAGACCAAAAAATAACAAATGACTCCTATTTGGAAACCCGTTTTCTGTTCCATTCAAGCAAAGCCCAGATTTCTTGTTATGATTTCTACAAAGAAAAATTTTCAGTGAAAATATTTACCATTTAATTCCACAGCAGCATCTATTTGGCCACTAACTCCTGAAAATTCTTCTTCAGTATTTTTTGGGTAGTCTTTATCCATTTTCCTTTTTCGTTCATCATAGCTGAAAGGAGTATTTAAAAAATATTAGTAATTAGAGATTTTTCTTGGTTGTGGATGATGGCATGTTTAGCCAGGGCTGAGTTATGACTTGTTTTAGATGACACACATACCTGCTTGCTCTCTCTGTGAATTTCTTGGTTCACTAAACAATTGAAAGCCTTTTATTGGGGCTTTAATTCATGGAGTTAGCACTATATACTCCTGGAGAAAGGATTCAACAAATAATGTATATTGAATGAATAAATGATTGTGTGAACATTCATCAAATAAGAAGCAAGAAAATCTGTAATAACTGAGCCTCTGCCTTTTAAATCAATTTAATTGAATTCCATTGCTTTTGTTTGCTGGAAAAATTATGCACTTTACCAAACAGTAGATTAGGTTTCCTTCTCTGGATAAGTAACCACCATTGAATGATAATTGTGAAAACTGGTTACTATATCTCTTTGTGATCTAAATTATACTGTATAAAAAAAAAACACTGTGACCCATATGAGTCAGTGTGACTATATGAGTTCAGCATTAGGAAGAGATGACTCTCACCTCTTTAGTGAGACTTTATTTAACATGTGAGAAAGTCCCTTCCTATTTAGCCCAGAACTCCAAATGGGGACATTCCCAGGTGTACATCTCAATCTTTTTCCACCAAAAGGTCAAACAATTTTTCCTGGGCTACTGGGTAGTTTTTTTTTTGTGGCAGCAGATTATGCCCACCATCTCCTGAAATGTGCCTTTCATGTGGCTCTGGATGCATAGGCCAACGGACAGATCTTTCATGATACTGAGCAGGAGTCAAACTTTAGGAAAGAAATATTTAGCTGAAATTGACTAGGGATTAAGCAGCTTTTTGGAATGTTGGGATGAGGTACAGAAGCTAATTCTTCCAACATATTGACTGTAGAATGTTAATATTTCATTTAAACCTTTCGTATAAACACTTCAAACTCAGGGGCCTATGTGACTAATACAAGGTTGCTATCTTTTCATTTACCAACTAAGAAAAATACTATCAAGTCATCAAAAAAAAAAAAAAAAAAAAAAAGCCATTACTACCTGTCTTCATTATCGTCTTACAAAGAAAAGAAACTAAGTCACCAAAAAGGTAGAAGGGACAGTATGAGACAATTCTTGCTAATAATCTGTCTTTATGTTCACAGAGTACACCTCCATATATTTATTAATATTGTATATAATATTGTGCTTTTTTTTTCTGTGAACTAGTGTAAACTTTGTGATGCTCTAACCCTTTGTTTGTAGAGAATTCTGTTAGATGGCTTTGGGTTTGAGTTTGACTCTCATCTGCTGGTTCTGTGATTAGGATAATGTACCCTGTGCTCTGAGCCCTGGTTTCCTCAACTGGAAAACAGTTAGCCATGAGGATAAGAGACAATGTGAACATGTGTGTGCACACACACCACGTGCCTGGCTCATGTGGCATCCAGGACAGACCTCAGCCATAGACTTTGTGATTTATTTTGACTCCAACAACCATTAATTCTGACTTGTTAGTAAAAGACTGAGTGGACTTTGTGATTTGACCTGGAATCTTAAGTCATTAATACATGACTTAATACACTTTCTTTTGTTTTTCCTATTTTTTTCTTTCTTTCTCTTAATCTCTAAACACAGTTTATCAGATAGCATTATATACAGTTGTAGGCAAGGTTGAGAAAAGGTGGAAAAAAGGTGGGTAGAAAAGGTTAGAGGTGGTCCAGAAAACATAACCTTTCCCGAAAGCACATGCACTGTTATGTTGAGATTTTTTTCTCCAGGAGATAGAAGAAAAGTTATGGGGAATGAGGTTAATCAAATTATGTTATGAATATGGCCTAATGAATCCAACAATTATATATAATTATAATGCATAAATAATTTGTAATGCATAAAGAAAAAAATTAAATAATAGGTAAGAATCATGGACATTTTGGCATTAAGTGGGGAAGAGAACTAAAGAATGAATGTATGTGAAGTCTCTTTACATTATGGATTCAAAAGACATGAAATACAGCTTCAGATAGCCTTTTAAGCTGTGTGATCTTGAGCTAATTATGCAACTTCTCTTAGACACAAAGTTTTTTACTATAAACAGAGCTAACAGTCTGTACTTTTCAAGATTGTTGAAAGGCAGATGGGAGAGTGGGAGATTATAAGAGAATATGAGAAAACACCTACCATGATTCCTGACACACACAGGAAATCATCAATTCATATTAGCTGAATTGAAATATTGAAGAAATATTTTTTATTCAGAATCTTTTATGTGCTAGGGATCTGCTAAAATAATTGCATACATTTTTTCATTGAGCTCTTTATGTGAGATCTAAATATCAAACTAAAACTCACAATTTGCAACTATGTTTATTTCCTTTATAAACATTTGTTTAATTTTGATTAAAGGGTATCAATGTTAAACAAATCATTGCTGATTTAAACTAGTTAACCTTTTTCCAGTGATATAATAGTGCCACATGTATATGATGTAGTTTTTTTATCCTACTCTGCACATTTGTACAAGTCTAAAGACTTAGGGACAATTTTGGTCTAGTGCTTGCTGTTTTGTACGTGCAGAACTTAGATTTGTTAGGCATTTCTGATGGTTTGATTGTGAAGATTTCTATCATATGTCAATGACCTACCTGCTTCCGCCTGCCTCCTTTGAAGGACTACATGTAGAATTCAGTCAGGTATAGGATGCTTAAGGAGAATATCAGAACAAATGGTAAAAGGGGATTTAGGGACAAGGTATCTGAGATATTTTCAGGAAGTTTCATTAAGGTGAACTTTCCTGTGTGAGTCAATGATACAGAAATCTCAAATTTCCCTTTGAAGTTATTCATTAACTTCTAGCCAAGAAACACATGGCTTTCATGGAGGAAGGGGCCTTTGTGGTGTATACTAGGGAAGAGTCATGGTGAGAGTGATCATGACTGAAAAGAAGGCAGGAAAGTGAGAAGCTACCTGTGCCATCCCAGATGAAAGCCAGAAAACAGGACCCCATAAGGAAAATGACAGTGAGAAGTTTCTGGACTGAAGCATTTTTAACAATACAGAAAAATATCTATGCATAATATTAAGGTAAAAAAGTCAGGTTATAAAGCTATATACTTCAATATTTTAAAATGAGGAAAAGGGGCTGAGGCTATAGCTTCGTTGGTAGAATGCTTGCCTTGCATGCACAAGGTCCTGGGTTCAGTCTCCAGCACGTGCACACACACACATGCACACACACACACACAAAATAAAAAATAAAAATAAAAATAAAAATGAGGAAAAACCCCTGGGGAAAAAAATGGAAGAAAACAATACAAATGGCTGTCAAAATATGTAGCAAATGTTGACAATTTGATAATTCCTTCTCTTTTATGTTTTCCATAGTACACATCACATGCTGTCCTTTTGACCCCTTCTTTCTGGGCAGCCTTATACTCTCATATGGTCTCAGTTAACCACCTGATTATACAGTGAATTCTAAAATGATCTCTCTAGCCTGAGTCCCCTTGAACTGAAGACCTATAAGCCCAACTCTCGCCTGGATATTTCCATTCTGGGATCTCACCAGCATGTACGAAATGGAGCTCCTCTTTATTTTCCTGATTCTGCTGCACTTCTCAAATTTGCTACTTAGGTAAATGTCAAAATCAAAAACCATTTATCAAGGACATAATTCCCAACTAGTCGGTTACAAACACCTAAGTTTCTTGTTGCTTGAAAAGAAGTCAGGTCTATTCCTTATCCCCAAACTCATCCTCCTGGGATGGTTCTTGCAATAGTTCATGCTTTCTTTCTAACAATCCAATAGGTTTATTTTTGGGGTGGTGGTGGTGGTGGTGTACTGGGATTGAACCAGGGGCCTCTTCACTGAGCTACAATCCCAGCCCTTTCATATTTTTAAATTTTGAGACAGGGTCTTGCTAAACTTCCCAGGCTGGCTTCAATTTGTAATCCTCCTGATTGAGATTCCCAAGTCACTAGGATCGTGGGCATGTGCCACCGCACATGGCAATAATTCAATAGTTTTTAAAAATATATTCACAGAACTGTGTTTCATCAACACAATCCACTTTAGAATATTGTCACTGCCCCCAAAAGAAAAATCATGCTTTCAGTCATCAATCCTTACTTTCCCCACCACTCTCCACGCCCACTCAGCCTACCCAGCCCTAGACAATCACTAATCTACTTTCTGTCTCTTTAGACTTGCCTATTCTGGACATTTTATATAACTGGAATCATATGTGGGTTTTTTGGTGACTAAACTTCTTTCATTTAGCATAATCTTTCAAGATTCATGACTATTATAGCATGTGCCAGTACTTCACTCATTTTTATGGCCACATAATATTCTATTGTATGAATTTATTATATTTTAGATATAAATTCAACCCTTGATGGATGTTTGGGTGATTTCCATCATTTGGCTATTATGAATAATGTTGCTATGAACATTTATGTTCAGTTCTTATGTGAATATTTTATTTTTAAAATAAAATAGCTTATTTTTTTGGGGGGGATATATATATATATATATATATATATATATATATATATATATATATATATATATATATATGCCTATGAGTGAAATTCTGGATCAAACGGTAATTGTAATTTTTTCAGAAACAGAAAATAATTTTTCAAGTGGCTGCACTAATTTACAGTCCCATCAGCAGTTGTATGAGGGTTCTGATTTCTGGTTTGTCCATATTCTCAATCATATTTATTTGAAATTTTGATTATAGCATCTTAGTAGGTATGAAATAGTATCTCATGGTGGGTTTGACTTGCATTTACCTGATGACTATTGGTATTGAGCATCTATTCATGTGTTTATTGGTCATTTTTATACGTCCTTTGGAAAAATTTAGGTTCTTTGCCCATATTTTAACTGGATTATTTGTCATTTTTTTATTAATTGGGTTACAAGTTTTTTTATATAATCTAGACACAAGTTATTTGTCAGATATATGACTTACAAATATTTTCTCCTACATTCTAGACTGT